CCCCAAAACCCCAAAACCCCAAAACCCCATTTTCCGATAGAAAGATTGAGCGGTATTTTGTTTAAAGACCATCCTCCTGACTCGGAAGTTCCTTCTTGAATTGAGTAAACAACCCCTTTGATAAGTAAGTCTTTGAGAGAATCTTGACTATTGTGTAGTAATACTCCTTTGTTTCTGCGAAATGAACATTTAAGTTACTTTCAAAAGCTGAAGCTTTGTACCGTTCTAAAGGATCAAACCCGATATTATGCCAAAGTTTACGTTAACATATTGGACATATAATTGAAGGGTTTCGTTTACTCTTCTCATCTGAATTTGAACCGTTCATCACACATTGGTATTACACTCAGTGATGCATTCCAAACATATGGCCGATCTCATGAATCATTACTCTGATACTTCTGAACAAGATCAAATCTTTCAGCTCTTCATCAGTCATGTCATGGTCTTCTCCATAAAACTTTGGGTTGTATCTTGCAAAGCTGAAGACTCCAGTCCTATTTTTCCGAGAAGCTGACCCAAATACAAAATTATCTGAATTTTTAGAGTAAAGGTCAGTGTTGAGGATGCAGATCATGCAGTATGCATCCTTTGGCACCCATTTCTTGGCCTGCTTTAAGACATCATGACTGAGGTACTGAATCTAGTCTTTGCCTCTCTCCCTAGGTTTTATAGGTAATTTTGTGATATCTCTTACAGGTAGGAGAACTACAGGAAGTGAGTAGAAGTAAGCTTCACAATACTTCTGACAGTTCATTAGGAACTCATCGTCTATTGAGTTGTCTAGAGACTGGATATATAAATAGTTTTACGCTCTTTAGAGACTTGGTTGAAGCCGCCCTCAAGGAAATCTTGGAAGCTTTCAGCAGGTTGTTTTCGGCTAGGAATCCATTCTTCTGGATCTTCAATGACTTCCCTCTTAAAGAATGTTCTAATAAACTTATTTAATGAAGACATATCGAACCCTTTCATCACTGATCTCTTTCTTGATGTTTCTGAGAGCTTCTTCTGTCTCCTGGTCATCAGGGATGAGTTCTAAATTTAGTGTTTTAAGTGCCTCCTGACGAGATTCCAACGCTGCAGGATTCTCTTTAGAGGCACACATTCCCATGTTGTTTTGGAAGTTTTGAAATTTAATAATTGTATCTTAACTTATCGGGGTTTTGGGGTTTTGGGGTTTTGGGG